ACGGATTAATTTGATTTCCATTATTTCTTATGGGGAAAATTAACTCGACTAATGATAATTTCAACTAATGATGAGCTCTCAGGAACGGATTAATATCGTTGGTCGAGGGTCCACTGTACAGTGGACCCTCGCCTAACGATATTAATCCGTGCCTGAGAGCTCATTGTTAGCCGAAATTATCGTTGGCCGAGTTAATTTTCTCCATAAGAAATAATGGAAATCCAATTAATCCGTTCCAGACAGCCAAAAGTATTAAAAAAAAAAAAAAAATTTCATGAAATATACATTTCCCTACAAAGAAAACAATAAGACATGCACAATAACTACATAAATAAATGTTAAAATGACACTTACCCTTATTGAAGAGTATTGATGAGTGATACACTGTTTTTCTTGAACACCGGGATTTTCAGAGTGATACACGAGTAAAGGCTTCACTTTGTAATCCCCACTAGCATTACAACAAAACATGAGAGTTAGCCTGTCTTTCACAGGCGTGTGTCCTAGGAGTGCCTTTTCCTCCTGAGTAATGTAGGTCCTGTTTGGCATTTTCTTCCAGAACAGGCCTGTTTCGTCACAATTGAACACTTGTTGGGGGATGAATTTTTCAGCTTTGCCATGCCTTATTGCACTGTGTATGCCACTACAATTCTTAAATATCTCAAACCAACCTTTGCTGGCCTTAAATTCACCAATATGAACATTAGTTCCAGGCATTTTTTCCTGTTCATCTGGGTGTTAGTTGACTGTTGTGGGTCGCATCCTGGGGGACAAGATTAAGGACCCCAATGGAAATAAGTTAGTCCTCGATGATGCACTGGCTTTCTTGGGTTATCCTGGGTGGCTAACCCTCTGGGGTTAATCGTTTCTCGGTAACTGTTTCACGTTAAGCCACACCAAAAATACTCTCTCCACATCTTTGAGTAGTACAGCTGATGGTGGTGGAGCAACAGCTGACTGTGGTGCAGCAACAGCTGACTGTGGTGCAGCAACAGCTGACTGTGGTGCAGCAACAACTGACTGGTGCAGCAACAGCTGACTGTGGTGGAGCAACAGCTGAGTGTGGTGCAGCAACAGCTGACTGTGGTGCAGCAACAGCTGACTGTGGTGCAGCAACAGCTGACTGTGGTGCAGCAACAGCTGACTGTGGTGCAGCAACAGCTGACTGTAGTGCAGCAACAGCTGACTGTGGTGGAGCAACAGCTGATTGTGGTGCAGCAACAGCTGACTGTGGTGCAGCAACAGCTGATGGTGGTGCAGCAACAGCTGTGGTGCAGCAACAGCTGACGGTGATGCAGCAACAGCTGACGGTGGTGCAGCAGCAGCTGACTGTGGTAGGATAGTATTTCTCACCCTTTTTACCACAGGGTTTGCACTAGAAGCTTTCTTTGGGCCCATGGTGGCTTAGCAGTTACAAGCACTATAAACAATGGAATAATACAAAATGTATCGAATGTATGCATGCAACCGGCCTCCCTGGCTTGTAAACAATGACAGCAGGGCTGGATGGACAGGTTCGGGACGAGTCATGTTGGTCAGAAACATCTGACGATGGTGCAGCAGCAGCTGACTGTGGTGGAACAACAGATGACTGTGGTGCAGCAGCAGCTGACCATGGTGCAGCAGCAGCTGACTGTGGTGCAGCAGCAGCTGACTGATCCAGCAACAGCTGACCAGTCCAGCAACAGCTGACTGTGGTGCAGCAACAGCTGACTGATCCAGCAACAGCTAACTGGTCCAGCAACAGCTGACCGATCCAGCAACAGCTGACTGGTCCAGCAACAGCTGACTGGTTCAGCAACAGCTGACCGTAGTGCAGCAACAGCTGACTGATCCAGCAACAGCTGACTGGTCCAGCAACAGCTGACCATGGTGCAGCAACAGCTGACTGATCCAGCAACAGCTGACTGGTCCAGCAACAGCTGACCATGGTGCAGCAACAGCTGACCGTGGTGCAGCAACAGCTGACCGTGGTGCAGCAACAGCTGACTGGTCCAGCAACAGCTGACCGTGGTGCAGCAACAGCTCACTGGTCCAGCAACAGCTGACCATGGTGCAGCAACAGCTGACTAGTCCAGCAACAGCTGATGGTGGTGCAGCAGCAGCTGACTGTGGTACGATAGTATTTCTCACCCTTTTTACCACAGGGTTGGCACTAGAAGCTTTGTGCAAGAAAGGTATAAAATACCGACAATATGAAAGTTAAGACACATGTGCAACATCTGGATATCTTTATTGTATGTAGACCTTTCGCCATCCATCTTTTGTATATAGTTCTACTGTCTTCCTATTATGTCCTAGAATCTGTATTGATAAAGCCACTGGATGGCGAAACGTCTACATACAATAAAGATATCCAGATGTTGCACATGTGTCTTAACTTTCATATTGTCGGTATTTTATACCTTTCTTGCACAACTTGTCAGACACTGCAACATCATGGAATCTTGGTTCAGAGGACATCTACAAGACCTTCTTCACGGCTGCTGCAACTAACCCATCTCTTTGGGAAGGACCTACTTCCACTGGGGAATCCCGCCTACCAGTGACTATGCCCTCGTCTGCTGCCCGTCCTTATCCACTGACGCCTATATAACCACCAGTCTTCTTGCCTTTGCTCCAGATTCTCCTCCACCACGATGCTGTGAACACTTACTCCAAGGCTGAGGGACTGATTACCTCATCTTTTGTATATAGTTCTACTGTCTTCCTATTATGTCCTAGAATCTGTATTGATAAAGCCACTGGATGGCGAAACATCTACATACAATAAAGATATCCAGATGTTGCACATGTGTCTTAACTTTCACTAGAAGCTTTCTTTGGGCCCTTGGTGGCTTATTTAGCAGTTACAAGCACTATAAACAATGGAATAATACAAAATGTATCGAATGTATGCATGCAACTGGCCACCCTGGCTTGTAAACAATGACGGCAGTGCTGGATGGGCAGGTTCGGGACGAGTCATGTTGGTCAGAAAGAGCTGACTGTGGTGCAGCAGCAGCTGACCATGGTACAGCAGCAGCTGACTGTAGTGCAGCAGCAGCTGACCGTGGTGCAGCAGCAGCTGATCGTGGTGCTGCAGCAGCAGCTGACAGTGGTGCTGCAACAGCAGCTGACCATGGTGCTGCAACAGCAGCTGACCATGGTGCAGCAGCAGCTGACTGATCCAGCAACAGCTGACTGTGTTGCAGCAGTAGTTCACCATGGTGCAACAGCAGCTGACTGTGGTGCAGCAGCAGCTGACAGTGGTTCAGCAATAGCTGACTGTGATGCAGCAGCAGTTGACCATGGTGCAGCAACACCTGACTGCGGTACGATAGTATTTCTCACCCTTTTTACCACAGGGCTGGCACTAGAAGCTTTCTTTGGGCCCATGGTGGCTTATTTAGCAGTTACAAGCACTATAAACAATGAAATAATATAAAATGTACCGAATGTATGCATGCAACTGGCCACCCTGGCTTGTAAACAATGACAGCAAGGCAGCTGAAGCGCTCAGGCTGGACGGACAGGTTTGGGAGGAATCACGTTGGGCGAGTTTTTTATCGTTAAGCGGGCCAAAATTTTTACACTCAAGCGCTTCGTTAGGTGGATTTAACGTTATGCGATGCGTTCATAAGGCGAGGGTCCACTGTATTATTGTATTGTGTTATTATATGTATTATATTATTATTATACATATTATTATTATTGTGTAAATTTGTAATTTTTATTCACACAAAAAATATAATATTTACTGTTATTCCTTATTGCAATAATTGTATAAATAATGTCAACCCATTCACGACTGCATATTGGAATGGACAGTGACATCATTTGTTTACTCTGAAACAGCCAAGCAATTGACCATTTGTCCTAGGTTGAGCTCAATTTCAAGGCACTTTTCGTCATGAAAGCAATCAAAATCATATCTATTTCTGTAATACATCTTCCATTCTATCAAATGAGACCAAAAAAACGAGAATACAACCATAAAAACCATTCGAAATTACCGCTAAGGGGTGGCTAATTGCTGAGAAGTGAACTCCATTATTTATGCTTAATTTCTTTCATTATTATTATTATTATTATTATATAAATAATTTGTATTTTTTATTCACACAAATATAAGCTTTACTGTTATTCCTTATTGCAATAATTGTATAAATAATGTCAACCCATTCACCACTGCATATTGGAATGGACAGTGACGTTATTTGTTTACTCTGAAACAGCCAAGCAATGGACCATTTCCTCTAGGTTGAGCTCTATTTCAAGGTACTTTTTGTCGTGAAAGCAATTAAAATCATATGTATTTCTGTAATGTATCTTCCATTCTATCAAATGAGACCAAAAAAACAAGAATACAACCATAAAAACCATTCGAAATTACCGCTAAGGGGTGGCTAATTGCTGAAAAGTGAACTCCATTATTTATGCTTAGATTTCTTTCATTTTTGGTGCATGTTAAGAAGCATCTTTCCATCATACATTGCCCAAGTTTCAATCAGATAGTCCAACAAACAAATGAGATACAATTCCTGAGATAAAGAGCAAGAGCCCCTCACCAGTGTCAAGGAACCTGCCTTGAGGTCTGCTCGCTTGTGGAAATTTTGTTCGCGTATGGAAGCAAAAAATTGACCCATCGACTGCTCGTATTTGGAAAAACTCACACGTGGACACGCTCGCAAGTAGAGGTTCCACTGTACTATATGTGTATTTTACTTTTTATTGTTTTTTAATGCCTAGTTCTATTGCTAACTTAAGATATGTTAGTGTAAACTTGTTACCTAGTATTTCTATGCATTTATAAGTGGAAAAAGAGGGTGTTCCACTTTACGGGGGTAGCCTGGAACCTAACCTGTCATATAAGTGGAGCCCTACTGTAGTACATTTTTTTCCTTTAACCAGCAAATTGCTTTTCAAGTTTGAGAAATGTATGTATTCATCTGTCATTATATACTAAACAGTTCAAAGGTATCTTAAAAATAATTGCCATAACACTGATCCATTTTAAGGCAAAAGAGGCAGAAGACAGGAGGAAGCTGGAAGAAGAGCAAGCACGGCAAAAAAGAGAATTGGAAGAATTTGAAAGGAAGATGGAAGGACGAAAAGGCAGACGTCGAAATAGGCGGCAACAAGAAATGGAGCCAGAACCAACATTTTGGGAGAAATATGGAAAAATTATATTGGTCGGTGCCATACCACTGGTTGGAGTAGGAGTCTATATGGTATTTGATTTATAAGGTTATTCTGCACGTAGCAGTTATTTCACCAGCTACATTTACCTTGCTTTTGTTAATGCACTTCTGGGTATACAGTACTTTGTATAGAAAATATTCAGGCAGTTATGTTAATAATTCAGTGTGTTCTGTCAGATTATTATTCTCTATGACATATTGGTCATTTTAACTTGGTGTCTAATTTCACTGATTCATAGGTTATAAAAATAATGCTGATTATTATAATGTATTTTTATATGAAAATTAAACAAGTCCCTCAAAAAGCTAGTACATAATTAGTGTTATTAAATTAGTCACCAACTGGTAGCAATAAACACTTTTTTTCCTTATATTAAATGTACAAATGCCATGTGAAGATACACAACCTATCATAGTACTGCCAGTGTATTTGTAGGCAGAATAAAAGATACTGTTTGTGGAATGCATATTATTTTCTGACAAAAGAAAAAAACTTGGTCAAAGAGGCCTTTAAAAAATATAGGTGTGGCTAGTGGAGTGAGTCCAAGACCAAGTAATATATATTCTTAATATAGGTAAATGACATGCTGCCACTTGGCCCATGAAAGCTGCTGAGACTGTGGGATGAAACAGTAGGATCACAGTTGGTGCTGCTGATACAACCATGTTGCAGAAGTGCTGATCATAAAATAATTTGTGTCAACTCTGTGGCTGAGTGGTTACAGTTTTGGGCCTGCTATATGCATGGACCATGGTTTGAGTACCCATCCTCTCTTCTGTTTATTCATATTGTACTGTTTAATGATTGTTTTTGTGAATATTGTTATAGATAGTAGGTTGGTAAACAGCAACCACCCAGGGAGGTACTACCGTCCTGCCAAGTGAGTGTAAAACGAAAGCCTGTAATTGTTTTACATGTTGGTAGGATTGCTGGTGTTCTTTTTCTGTCTCATAAACGTGCAAGATTTCAGTTACGTCTTGCTACTTCTACTTACATTTAGGTCACACTACACATACATGTACAGGCTTATTATATATATACACACCCCTCTGGGTTTTCTTCTATTTTCTTTCTAGTTCTTGTTCTTGTTGTTCATTTCCTCTTATCTCCACGGGGAAATGGAACAGAATTCTTCCTCCGTAAACCATGCGTGTTGTAAGAGGTGACTAAAATGCCAAGAGCAAGGGGCTAGTAACCCCTTCTCCTGTATAAGTTACTAGATTTAAAGAGAGAAACTTTTGTTTTTCTTTTAGGGCCACCCTGCCTTGGTGGGATACGGCTGGTGTGTTGAAAGGAGAAAGATATAAATATTGTGTACAAGTGGGTCGGACATACAACAGGCATGTGTGAGCATATTAGATAGGAGTGGAGACGAATGGTTTTTGGGACTTGATGAGCTGTTGGAGAGGAAGAGAGCAGGGTAGTATTTTGTGACAGGACTCAGAGAAACCAGTTGGCTGGACTTGAGTCCTGAAGGTGGGAAGTACAATGCCTGAACTTTAACCCCTAAACGGTCCAAACGTATATATACGTTCTCTCGCCTAGTGCCTCGAATATTTTGAAAATAAAAAAATTGTTTTTTTTTTTTTTTTGAAATAGGAAAAATTTTCAAAGTGTTGTAGGTGAAAAAAAAAATTTTAGGGCAGTACTTACGAGATATGAGGTGAAAGTTGGCATTAATGGTCACCTGACGGCAACATCGAGTCCGCTGTTTGCAGAAGTGTTGCCAATATACCATTTTTTTTTTTTTTTAAAATTTTTTGTTTGATAATTCAATTTTTGTAGTTCTTGTCTTTTCATAACCAATCTTTGTTCGACAAATACATGGACCTCGGAAACGAATGCATGCAAAATTTTAAAACCCTCCCTGTTATCTGTCTAGCTCTCTGTTCAGGAGAGCCAAAAAGACTGTTTTCGTCATACATTTACTACTCTTAAAGCAGAGATAGCACTTTGTTGGTGTTTTGGGTTTTCCTAGGTAATTTAAACCCTATCGTACGTGGACCCGCATAACGATCACCTCCGAATGCGACCAATTTGAAAGTGCGTTTGTACGTGTTGTTTGGGGGTCTGAAATGGACAAATCTATTACAATTTCCCTTTATGGAAAAAAATTGGGTCATAGGGCACCGAACTACTTCTGGAGTGAAAAAAATATCGTTAACGGGGGTCCTGTATTGATTTTATGTGTACCTGTGAGCAGAGGTAGATAAAAAGAGGAGAGATTGAAGAGAACGAGACGTAGACAGACGGGCACAGATAGGAGGGGGTAAGAGACAGAATGCAGCCCCAAAAACTTGGGGTTAACTCCTTTCCCTCTTAAAAAAGGGTGTTCCCCTTTGACTGTAAAAAGGGCCCCCAACCCTGAAGTGTCTCCTGGTGTCGCAAAATTTTCCAAAAAAAGAAAATTTTTTTTTTGAAAATGTTAAATTATTTTTTGGTTGTTTTAGTCCAAAAAAAGAATTTTTCCCATCAGTACTTACCAGTTTTAGGGCATAAAATTTTGAGAAAATGATGGTATGGCAATTTCCCGCTCACTCGGAAAAACTTTGGTTTACTTGTATTTAAAGGTTTGTTGTTTTTTCATATTTTTTTTTTTTCACATAACTTAGTGGCCTGTGAGCCCAAAAGTAAGATGAAATGTACATATTTCACTATTGATACAAAACAAAAAAGCACCCAAAAAAATTATCAATAATTGTTTACAAAATTGTTACAAAAAAAAAAATACAAAAAATTGTTTATTACTATTGTTCTATAATTATATACCCAAAATGCATCATGGACATATTCCTGAAATTTGTGCTTGTGTAATCTTTAATCATGGTGTCATACCAATGGTTTTTACACTCCTCACACATAAAAACCCGTGTGTGTGATTTTGTGGAAGTTTTTTTTTTTTATGTGCAAAGACAAAACACCTCGTTGACAGTTTTTTCAAAGTATTTGCAGGCAGTTGTGTTAGTGTTTTTTTTTTTTTTTTTTTAACAAGTTTGGGCGTTCCACCGAGGCGGGGACCCAAAAAAAAAAAGAAAAACCCCAAAAAGAAAATATTTATCTCATTCAACATTTCCCCCACACCTTTTTCATGCTTTTTGGGGGGGCCCAGAATACAAAAGCTTGAAGCATATTCGTATAGAGATACAAAAATATCCCCCCAACTGCCAATATCCAAAACCACCCCTTTTAAAAATGCAGGCTTTTTACTTCCCATTTCCCGGACTCAGTCCGCTTATGAAAATAACCAGTTTCCCCGAATCCCCTTTATAAATATTCCTGCTCAACCCCCAAAGATGTCAGGGCCCAAGTTCATTCGTCTCTTCTCCTATCTAAAAGCCATGCACGCTTTCTGGAAGTTCAAACCCCTCGCCCCCAAAATCCCTTTTTCCCCCTTTCCACCTTTTTGAGGGGACCCTACCCCTCTTTCCTTCCCCCATAGATTTTTAGTTTCATGTCTTTACTTTGATCCATTCTCTCTAAAAGACCAAACCACCCCAAAAACCCCCCCTTCGCCTTGATAATGCTTTTATTAATCCACCCTTCTCCCAAATTTCCCCTTCGAATTTTCTGATTTATTTACACCAACATTGCCCTTTGAAGGACATCTCACTGCTCCAAAACCCTCTCCTGTGCTGCATTTACCACCAAGCTTCCTCCTTTAAGAGTGTTGGTACTACTAACTTTATACATTCCCTTTTGCCCTAGTAAAGTTTTTTGAATCCCCATTACCCAAGCACCCCACCTTTTAAAACCATCCCCCGAACGTAACTCCAAGTATTGAAAAAATTCACTTTTATATTTTCCTCCCCAATTTTATACCCTTTTTTTTTTACTAAATCATTTGATACCCCCACACCTTTCTCTTTTCTATGTTCACTTTCAATTTTTTCCTTTACACAATTCTCAAATCACCACTAACCTTTGCAAATTTTTTTTTAGAATCTTCCCTAAGACGTTATCAGCAAAAAGTAACTGGTCAATTCCCCTTTTTAATTTGATTCCCATAATTAATCTACCCCCCTCCCCAACACCCTGATTTTCTTCTTTTACAACCCCCCTCTATAATTATTTTAAAAAAACCTGGTGAATTTCACATCCCTGTTTTAAAACTACTTTTCCCGGGGAATAGTTCCCTCTTCTACACACCCCCAACCTGAGCCTCACTTCCTCAAAAAGCTTTTACGCATTTAGTAATTACCCCCTATTCCTAAACTTGAAACATTTTGGCCCATTGCCCCCTTTCTACCCCACTCTACATACCCTTTTTCCCTAAAACCATAAATGAAATTTAAAAATTTCCCCTTTCCTTTATCTAAAAAAATTTTCACTTATATGCTTAATGTAAACTTTTTTTTTAAAACCCCCCCCCCTACCCACTCTAAAGCCCCCTTGCTATCCGAAATTTTCTACATTCTGTTTTTCCTCTAATTCTTTCAATTAAACCCCTTTAGGGATACTTTTCCGGGTTATTCAGTAAATTATTCTCTTAATTTTTTAAAATCTCTTTTGTCCCCTTTCCCTTTTTTAAGGGACTTTTCCGGCTCTCTCCCTTTCCCTAGGAAAAAACCTTTCCCCCTTTTCTTTACTTTATTAAACAAAATTTCCAAACCCAATCCAACACTTTACCCCCCCCTGTTTTAACATTTTGTCAGGCCCCATCATTTTCCAGCTGCTTTCCCCCCTTTTCTTTTAGTAATGCCCAGTACCCCCAAACACATTTGCTCTACTTCATCCAAAAAGTGGTTTACCCCTTGGCCAGGGATGAAATTCCGCCCCCCTTTCCCCTCAAAAATTAAAAAGTTCCTAAAAATATTCTCCCCAATCTCCCTTTAATCCCTCCCTCCCCCATTACTAATCCCCAACTCTTTTTTTTAAGGGGCAAACCCATACTTTCCCTGGGCTTTTTTAAAATTTGGGTTTAACTCACCCCCAAAATTTTTTCTTTTTTTCATTAAAATTTTTTGGGCAGTGCCTCCCCCCTTTTTCTTTCTCCCTCTCCCTTTGCACTCTCTCCCCCACTCTCTTCACCTTTCTTTTACTCTCCATTTTACTCTGCCTTTTATAACACTTCTGCTTTTTTAAAAACCTCTCTTTAAGCAAACCTTTTTCTCTTTTTTTAAACCCCTCTACTTCATCATTCCCCCCAAAAAAAACCCTCTTTCCCCCTGTCCCACCCTCCTAAAACCACAAATTTTCTGCCCCAATTCAAATATGCTTTTTTAAAAACTTTTTCCCAAACCCTCTTCCCCCCCCCTTACTCTTCTTTGAAATACCCCCCTTTTTCCAATAGTGCTTTTATTCCCCGAATTTTCCCTCCCCCCTTGGGTTTTTACATTTTTCCCCTCCCTTTTAATTGGTTGTTGCCCCCTTCCTTTTTTTCCCCAATATCTTTACTTAATGTGCTACAACTAAAAAATTGTTTCTAAATTTTTTCTTTTGCCCCTTATAAACTTGTACTTCCT